GGGGGGGGTTAGGGTTAGGGTTAGGGGTTACGGTTAAGGGGGTTAGGGTTAAGGTTAGGGTTAGGGTTAGGGGTTCGGGTTAGGGATAGGGTTACAGGTTAGAGGTTAAGGTTAAGGGGGGGGGGGGGGGGGGTATGGTTAGGGTTATGGTTAGAGGTTAGGGTTAGGGTTAGGGTTAGGGGTTAGGGTTAGGGTTAGGGGTTCAGGTTAAGGGGGGGGTTAGGGTTAGGGATTAGGGTTAAGGGGGTTACGGTTAGGGTTAGGGTTAGGGTTAGGGGGTTTAGGGTCAGGGGGTTAGGGTTAGGGTTAGGGTTAGGGTTAGGGGTTAGGGTTAAGGGGGTTAGGGTTAGGGTTAGGGGTTACGTTTAGGGGGGTTAGGGTTAGGGTTAGGGTTAGGGGAATGTGTTAGGGTTAGGGAGTTAGGCGAAGGGGTTAGGGTGAGGGGAAGGGGTTTGAGTTAGGGTGTGTGTCCTAACCCTAACATGCTAGGGCAGATACACACCTAGCATGCTAGGGTTAGGGTTAGGGGGTTAGGCGAAGGGTTAGGGTGAGGGGAAGGGGTTTGACTTAAGGTGCGTGTCCTAAACCCTAATGCGTATAAAAGTCATTCGTTTAACGCAAAATTTTCTATATATTATATTACAATGTAATTCTTTTAATAATAATTATATATAATTACTTACTAAATCGTCCCTGATATTATTCTATTGCAATTCATTTAATTACAGTTTTTTTATTTTAGTATGAAGTATTAACTGAATTATTGTTGCAACTGCTAAAATTTATTATTTTTATAACTTTCATGAGTAAATGTCCTGCAAATTTGTATTATTTATTCATCTTTTGTACGATATTAAAAAGGAATTACTGCGTTTTAATTTCTGTTTCATTTTCATATACATATGTATATTATGATTATAATATATTAATGATGAGACAGTCGTTGAATGTTATACAAATAAATCACGGGTAACAGGAGTTCAATCGGAAAGGAAATTAAATGAATTAAATGAATGATTCTGAAAGAAAATCAAGTGCATCACATAAATCATTGAGGCACGAAATTAATTATATTCTATCTGTCGTCATTGTTTCGCATTCATCACTAGATGACGCGAGTAGTATCATTTTCAAACGAAAAGTACGATATAAAAATAAGATTCGTACAGTAGAAACCAAAGTGTCTTTGTTTTGTGTGATCGTGAAGAATTAGTATCACTGTAATAAAAGTTTAGAGTTTTTATTAAAATACAATATAAAATCGCACCATTCTACAAAAACCAGTATCACTGGCCACGTACGTCTTCTTCGATCTTGATCAGAAAATGGGATTACAGTTACGCAATCATAAGATTCCGCTCGATCGAATCGCATAAACATGTCACGTCATCTCTCTATCGGGAATTGGACACCTATCTGTGTACGTCTTATCGCGACTACAACTTTGGCACAAATGTAATTTTCTGTAGGAATAATTCATGTCTACGATAAGGTTAGCATTTATCGTACGACACTCATCAACACGGCTAAGGAACCGTTGATAGTAGGCCACGTAAATTAGACACCTTCGAATTGACGCGATTCGTTATTCGACACCATTTAATTCGCAACGATCACGAAACAATGTCTTACGTTTGAGCACTTTCTCTTGGTCCCATCAAAGTAATCTATTAAAGCTCGTTGTGAATCGCGAACGAACAATTGTTAAAATTATAATCGATACCAATTCAAATTAAATCTCCACAAACTAACTTTTATCGCTTTTGTCAGTCTTACGTTTGATTGAACATTTCTTTCGAATAAAAGAAACAAAAATAAGGAATGTATCTAAATAGTCATGTTGAAGAAATTACATAAGTTCTCGATCAACGATCAAGATTCCATCATTTCCACAATATCGACGCGTTGTTCATCAGGTGAACATGAACACACTTTGCGCTGTTTCTTGTTCAAAAAAAACAGCTGATATATACTCTTATCTTTACGAAAATTACAAATTCCTTAATTTAGGTATGTACAAAAACTGTTACAAAAAAAAATGTATATAATTTAGAACATATTACTCTTGTTTCGTTTATGATCCTCGTCGGGAAGATCAACGAATTCTCGTCATTCATTCAACTAATCATTCACGAAAATAGAGGTCCTTTCTATCATTGAATTATAACTTTTCATCGATTCTTCATCTATTTTTCATTATGTAGTTTCGACTGTACACTTCGATACAGCTTACGATCGCTTCTCACGTGATGATCCTCGTTGCTGTTGCCGTTGTCTAAGTATACCAGCTCTGTTTTATCTCCAGAAGCTATCACTTCCGGCTTGGTAATCTATAAACAATGGGTACATTTTTGGCATATCGTAAGGAAGTAGGATATTAGATGGCGTAGAATTGATTACCTTGTCACTGGCCAGCGAGTTCGCGCGTTGCCTGTTTAACAAGTACAGGAGTGCTACGGTGAAAATAATCAGGGATCCAACGAGAATCAAAATTATCCCTGCGTATATGCAAACATTAGGAAGCGACAGAAGCTTCTTCAAGTCATCGATAAACTTCTGTGTGGCTTCCACTTCCAGTGAGAACCACATTACTGGGAAATATATCGTCGGTACAGATCTGAAAAGTCTGAACACCCATGCCTTGTGAATTTTTTGAAAGTATAAATCGTTTTAAATATTTTGAAATTCATTTCAAATAAATGGAACTTCTTTGGTGTTGCGTTAGGGCTAGTCGTACATTCACTTCTGATCATATTGTTGGAAACGTACTTACGACACTGTTTTTGATGGTTCCAGCAAAATGTTGATCTGCAATTTGGCAGACACTTTTAGGGGAATTCCAGTTGCCTAGAAAAAGAAAAAAAAAAAAAAAAAAACAGTTATTTTATAATTCGGCAGATTACTCTGCTGTGTTATTATAGTTATCAGCTGTAATTATCTGAATCGATTATCTTCGATCGCATATGAAATTATCTTGATGAAATTATTTTGACGATAAATAAATAATACCTGGTCTATAAAGCAGCGAGATGATAAATTTCGTAGGAAGATCGCTGATAAACGGCGATTATTTTTTAAAATAATTCATAGACTTACCGGTTCGAGGATGATATAAAAATCATGATCATCTTGCGGATCGATTCCAGTGACTCGTTCCGTGAGACTAGGATCAGCCCTGTTGAAGTGCGGCAAGCTGGCAAATACGGGTGCCCCATATCGACACGCACTGACGTTCATCAGTCCTGCAGGGGTGCATCTTCCATTGCAAAAACAATTTCCTATATTAACAACATCCGGATCCTGTTCAGGAGGATCCGTAATTTCCGCTGAGTGTTCAACTTCGAAGAAATCCTCGGTGGTTGTGGTTTGCTCAAAGTATTTAGCCTGATCATGAGGGTAACGTCTTCTAGTGTTGTTTCCCAATGTTTTCTCACTCAACACGTACTGATAACCCTCCATGCCCATGTGATAAGTCGTCTGCGCGTAGTCGAATGTTAATGGTCTGCGAAGAAAGGGGAACACAGAAACGATACGAATAAAATATTCTATCTTGACGAGTGCCGCCACAAGATTGTTGTTATACGTTATCAATTATATACGTGGATTCATTCAAAAGTGAATGTCAGCAAAGTTATCGACTCCACCTACAACGTTGGCCGAGTAAACAGGATTATCAGACGATCCAATTTACGTTTCTCGAAGGTTAATACGTGCAGAGGCCGGGGACAAAGCAGAGGAAAGTAATTAGCATTACTTTTTTGCACTGCGAATGTGACTTACTGACCTGCACAAGTCGCCGCTGAACAGGGAGATTTCGTCTTTCTGACGATAAGGTGGCCAGAATTCGCCGGCGCTCCCTTCTACCAGATTACACGGGCTCTTGAAGAATTTCGTTGTATCCTTGTGGTTCCACTTTTTCAGGACTCCGAACTCACTGATGTCGTGAACCCCAGTGTCCATGTTGTAGTGGCCATCGAACATCGTGGAACCGTTCCTCTGAAAAGGAAAGGTTAATCACGTGGATCCAGGTCCCATATAAATTTGAAATACATTAAATATAAAAAGAGGTCGCAGATAGCCGTATCACGAGCGAGGTTTAAAACTTTTCCAAGTTAATCAGCGTTCAAATGCCTCACGATAAGAAAAAGCCTGATAAAATCATATGTGAAGGTATTTTTCTTTTTATTTTTTTCTTTTCTCTAATCTTCTATCTATCGCATCAAGTATTTGGATAATCGAAATATTCGGACTGATCGATCGACAATGTTTTCTCTTTTATCGCGTGGAGAAAAAATCAGATGGGAAAAGAAAGAAAGGATTTAGAAAGAAAATAGGTAGAATTGATTGATCGTAAATGTTGCACGCGTGACGTAACAAATTAATACATAATATGCCTCCCATTGCTTTTCATTCGTCATTCAGCGGCCTACACGTGACCCGTCCTATTCAGTACCAATTTAAGTACTCGCTGCGAATAATTTGTCGTCGGCTACAATGCCGTTGCTGTGGCAGCGCGAATCGCATCTTTGACCTCCTGACCGCCCTCGACACAATTAAATAAACAATCTCAGCCACCTTCTTTATGAAACAATCGTCTTGATGACACCCACTGATAAACACCTTCTCCGCCATGTTACACATGCTAGACACACCGCCGCGCGCCGCGCGCCGCGCGCCGCGCACAAGTCTCCACTCAAACCTCTGGAATTTTATATGATTTATCAAATTCTGACTTACCATGTAGAACCAACCGAATTTATCAAAAGGTGGTATTTCATCCCCCAAGGCTGCCATTCTTCCCAGCTTGATGAGAGAGTCGTCGTAGCCGGCGAACAAGAGTTCGTTCACAGTCTTGGTGGTGTGTACTTTCGACGCCGTCAACATGAACGATAAAGTACTTTGCAGCGCGCCGTCCCAGTAACGGACTTTGTGTTTTGCTGACTGAAACGATTCACATTTCGCAAAGCTTTGCAAATTATTCTAACAACAATTTCTATTCGTTAAACGATTTCACGTTTCTATGTGATACGTACAAATACAAGTACAAATTACTCACTATTGCGACAGCGTTTAGTTGCGTGATGGAGTCATTCAAAGAACCGTTGGTCAGTTCAGGTTCGAAGAACCACCACCGTTGATATAAGTAGCTGACCGTATGATTCTCAGGGTGAAACACCACGTCCGCCTTTTGCCTGATCTCCCTAAAATCGCAAAATAATGAAATTTCGATCGCGTTTCCATACGAATACAGTTCAGAAGCAACCACGTGGCACTTTGCATTAATGTAAACGCGTACACGTAACGGTGGTAACATTCTCTACCGAGAATGACGTTTAATCATACATAAAAACTTAAGCTCGTGTTTAGGATTCCTACGGAGAGGTTCTCCGATATCGTTTTCCCAGTTCAATGTGAAACCAGTCTGTTCATCTTCGATAAAATGAAACAACTCGAACAACCTGTTCCACGACAAACTTACATATTCACTCAAGAGAAAACGATTAATCAAGAAATTATTTTATGCAACGTTTACAGCCACCTACGCTACCCCTGCACCTCCGTTCAGACAGACAGACAGTCAGACGTTCGTTAACCTGTTAACTGAATAATTATATTAAGGATGTAACCAATTAAATTTTTTTTCAACCTAATTGTTTCATTTGTTACTTTCGTATAAAAGAATAACAGAACTACCACCAATCAACGTGGACACCCTGTTACGAAACAACGTAATAGCTCTTCGTCGTTTACCTTTTATTACACGTACGTTCAGTTAACAGGTTAAAATGTTAACATCTCGAGGTTAACTATTCTTTTCTTATCGTGATTAGACGGTCTATTAGGTTCGGTTAGATTTTCTTACCGGCCACTCGTCAAGAACGTGTACTATAAGTAAGTACATACTATGGAGATATGTACATACATATATTCGCGCTCTTCGGAGCAAAAAGGTTAATGCTGCTTTACAAAACACGTATACAAAACTTCCTGTTGCCTACGTATGTCATCGTAGTTTGCCATTCGGCGGTAAGCGTGAAATATCTCGACAGATCGTTGAAACAGTGAATCGAATGAGTTTCTTTCATCGAGAAACGATTCGTTGTTGCGCAATAGTTTCCGCCTTGGCCTGAACGATGCTTTTTTTCTGATCATTCTTCGATTTCCGTAACGTATCGCGAAACGAGACCGATTGTTAATTGATACACCGAAAGCAAATATGTCCATAGTATTATATTATACATACATACATATATTGCCTGGAAATAAGCAACTGGCTATTTCAAGTCGCCTGCAGAGCGAGTCGCTTCTTAGTGCCAGAATGAGAAGATAAAAGTCATCTTCTTTACTTTTTAATTAAAAAAAAACAAACATGTGCCGGTTTCGTCCAGGTTCGAGAACAAAGTGAAGCAAAATAGCATAGCTGCTTCGTAATAAGCAATTTCACAGATATTGGTAAATGTATACGATTAACATTTTGTACACTTAATTAAAGGAAATTAGAATATATGTAATGTAAACTGATTGAACAAGGGATGAAAAACAAATCTCATACCGAAACACGTAAGGGCCAACTTCCACGAGATTAGGTTTCTTTCCTTTAATCAACAGTTCTTCAGGGTTGGTCCAGTTGAAGAAGTGAATTTTTAGATACATCGGTGGTAAACTGCTTGTGTCATTCCACACTTCGAACGCTTTTGATGTTGGTGTCAGCGGTAGTTCCTAGTAACAGAAGTTGCAATTTTTTCCTCTTTAAAAAGGAACATTAGTTGCCAATGTATAGTTTGTTTATTTTTTGCATAGGCTGTACATTTTTTAGCAAAGTTACATCCTATTTTCGTACAAGATTAATATGTATTCTCTGCTGACAGAAATTCTTCTATTGTATGTCATCGAACACGATCAGTTGTAACCGAGATAAAACAGGAAGATGTTTAAATAAACGTATTTCCAAATTCTTTGCAGTTCGAGCATTAAAGTAAATACGTTTTTACAAGATAACCCACCATCACGAGGCTATCCAGTCAATAACTTCATTAATAAGAAGAAAACAACTATACTATATTTTCATGCTGTTGTCCGTTACGAACTCTATGCAATATAGGTACATATTGAAGAAAAAGAACAAAATTATTCCTGTGGCTAAAAAATCTTGCGTACTTTCTATCCGACACGACACCATACGCGTATATAACTGAATAAAATTCCATTATGTTTCAAGGACTTGGTTCAATATTTCAACATGAATGTTTTATGGGTTTAAGTTAACTAACTGGGCTTACTTTTTGAAGGATATGATGAAAGATAGCCGGCCAAGAGAAGTACAGAGTGGTACCAGACACGATCAGTAAGAAACCGAAGAGCCCAAGGCCGAGGGATTTGTTGGTCCAAGGCCTCATGATGATGAGAGCTTCTGTACTGGTACCGTTGATCCTCGCTTCCTCAGCATGTGGCTCTTGGACGGCTGTGTTTCGTTTCTTCGCCGATCAGACTCGTACTCCGTCGCTCTTCCGGTCGCTGTACGCCGCGTAGAGCGAAGCCTGCAACAAGATAAAACATAATCAGCCGGTCATCGAATTACAACACGCCTAATTTCACACGCCTTCTCTGTATTTTTCGTGTTTGATCTTTACGTAAAGATTTTCTTTCGTTTACCAAAAGTTTTCCCACGTGGAAGACCTCCCTTGAAGCACACGTGTTCACCAGAAGAAAGTAGATTTATATTTCGCGCAAGATAGTATTTCGGGGATACTTTAACTGCGATAAATTTTTTTTCCACTTTTTATCAATTTAACCCATATTAATTTTCAAAGCTCTGTAAGTGATAACTAAACTTCTTAGTTAGACTTGAAGTAATTACATATCAGCATGTTAAAAGAAGAAGAAGTAGAAGGTATTATAAAACTCCGAATGCGATCAAGGATATTTTCAAAACTTGTTTCAGCAAGGGACACACACTTGTGACCTACATACTTTTATTAATTTCATTCGTCGAGAGCCGATCCACCAAGTGATTTCAACTGGATCGCCGTAACATGTATTCGAAACCTTGCCTTTAAAGGACATAAAAAATGGTTAATCCACGGTTAACGACTTTATGCAACGATCATATGCAACTACACCCGTTAACTATCCGCTTTATTTATCCTTTATGATCGGGAAACTTTGTATCTGAAACCTATAGTCAGTCCAGAAAATCATTCATGCTGTCGTAACGTTGATTGTTGAGTATTCGTTGACTGAGAAATGCAAACAAAGCATATTATAATATTTAGTTATGTCGCTGGAATACGCAATCAGTTTAATCAATTTACATACATACATACATACATACATCAGTGTTGGTGACTAATGCCGTCGTTAATAATACGCGCTGCTTAAAACGCGGAATTATGTTACGTGAATCCACAAACGATTGGTTTTCTATGAAAACAAGCAATTACATTGCATTAGAAGTCTGTCGAATTGTCGGTCTTTAGATGTTTTATTTTCCATTATTGCTGTAATTATTAACACATTGCATGTGGGATTGGTACTTTTACGTTTTTTGCAGTCTGTTACTGGAGCGCGGGTCACGTAAAACTACGTATTTAGTAGAATTGTCCTATACGATGGGCATTTGTATTATACACGTATGCGTCAAGTCGATTCCGCACTTTTCCAATTTTCACTTTTTCTTTTTTCTGCCGTATTGTACTGTCTTTCTTTGTGCTGAGTTGTGCCGCAAACGAGAGATCGATAACATCACAATAACAATTACGAAAAAAAATAAAAACAAAGTTATACTAGCCCCGCACTTTTGCTGAAACAAATTTTTTTTTTTCTTTTAGATAATTTCTGATAACTTGTGCTACCTTGTGCCGTTTATAGAAACTCGATATCTCTATTCGTTTCGTAGATAAAAAATGTTGAATTTTTAGGAATACAAAATTTAATGCTCGTATAATTTAATGCAGCACAATTTAAAAAAATACAAAATTCGAAAAGTACGGGGCCAACTTCACACTCATCATTGTATTGTAAGTATTTATGTATGGTGTTTGTGTTGCTAGGCAACGGTTTGCATTGTTTCTTTCTAGAAGTTTAGTTTAGTTTAGTTTGTCGGACGTATGTATCGATATAAGGAATGGATTATACATGCTAATTTATTTTCCATTCTTTATTCATTTATTTATTTTATCGGTTTACTTTTAACATCGAACGTTGTTCGTGCTAAAGCTAACACTGAAAAGAAACATTACTCGATATATCCTTTTAAAAAAGAATAAAGAAGATATATGTACATAGATGAAAGGTTGATATTTCATGGAGCAAAATTTTTAATATTTTTTATCGGTTATTTTTATTCGAATTCCATTCTAAAATTACGAAAAGTCCGGAAATCATCAAGAGAGATAAAAATTTACGAGCGGATTTTTGCAATCTAATTATCTGAGCCTGAACTGTACGATCGTATGAAACGTTTTTTTTCTGTACATACACATGTCTGTTCAAGCTGCTGTTTCAATATGATAATTTATCAAATGTACGATGTTCTAGCCGTTCTTATCTCGCTCGCAATGAACTCTATCCCGATCTTCCAGTGACTTTTTGTCGTGAGAAAAGAGAGATACAGCTCCTTGGAGGTCGAGTTTATCGCTGTATTCCTATTTACTATGAAACCTTGGGAATCCTGTATTTGATTGTACTATGATAATTCGTTTCCTGGCAACGAGGGACTCTTGCACTATTGAAAAAACAAGATAAGCGATGTCGTTTGATGTTTGAAAGAGTTTTAAGTGAAAACTTTCGATTCCAAGAATATTCTTGGACCATTACCAAAGCATCATAAAATCAAAACCAACGTTCGACGATGGTGCAAATCAAAAAAATCGAGAATTTACAAGACGCAAAGTTAGCGGAACACACCGATAGCTTCCGGCTCGAGCGAGAAGATCGACCATCGTTAAGAAAAGAGAATAACGTAAAATTTACCATCGTTTGGCGACACGAAATGCAAGAAAGGAAGAGGTTATAGGAAAGAATACTGTAGAAGCAATCGTTTCGCTGACAGCTTGGGAAACTTTCGCAACGAATATTTCCAATTGGAGATCGGGACGATCGTAATAAACAAGAAGGGGATGATATTCCTGGTTCGGTTGGCCGTTGCATCCGTTCGTATTGTCGCGAACGTTGTCACGTTGATGTACCAATGTGTGTGTGTATGTATGTATATATATATATATATATATATGTATACAATATGTATGAGAACGAATAATGGGAGGTCATTTATCGGTTCACCGTCGCGTCGCGTCGCGTCGTCCCGTAGCATACACTGACTGCATCGTACCGACAAAACCTGTGTCTTTCTTCCTATCGCGGATGGATAGGACCGGGAACGGTCCTTCGTCACTCGATATCTACGTATATCCTTTCCTTTTTTTCTTATTTCCCTCTCCTCTAACCGTCTTTACGATATAACAAAGATCGTGACATAGATTTTTATTTCCTATCGTTCTTCTAAACGCGAGATTCATGAATGAACTGGCCTATTTGTTTTGTTGCAAATTATGTTTCTTCGTCAGTAGGCCGTTTCCTTTCAAGATAACTTGTCTCGTATCGTATCGTATCGTATCGTATCGTATCGTACGCTGTACAATTTGTTCGTCACAACGATATCAATTTTTCTAACAAAGAAATCGTCCAATGTTTCTTTGTTCACCAATCTAATGAATAATAATTAATCGCGATTTTTCTAATATGTACTTGACATTAAATTGAGTAGCTCGGATTTTAGCAAACAGAAAAATTTCAAGAGGCGATCAACTTACTTTTCTGACAGAAGCCCGTGTCCGCACGTTCCCTATCGTTCACCACGATCAAGGTGGTGTTTTTTTTTCAATCACGATACGCCGCGCCGTCGTTTTACACTTTGACTGGAAATATTAAAACGAGAACAACCGCAACGGAGCTCGGCGTTGCAACGCTGCGCTCGATACAGCGCGGCTGTTACTGTCGCGTCCGATGAATCAACAGGCTGCATCTAATGTAACTATTGGCTAAATCCCCTCCACTTACAGACACTTTTTTCCCTCCTTCGACTCACGACCACCCCACCTTTTATCCTCGTCAAGACACTTGTTCGACAATCCTTCCCTTTTCCTCAACTGTGTACGGTCGAAACTCTGGTTTCTTCGCTTCGAAATTCATTTACCAGCTTACTACCTGTTTCCCAGGAAGCAACGATTCTTGTTTCGCTTCTGCTTGAACAATTTCAAGCTTCGTCATGCACAGATGGCGTATTTGTCAGCTGCTAATTGTAACACGTGCTCCGGTTATCGCTTCACGTGTCACGCCGCGCCGTCGTCCGCACAGTGTGTAGTAGTGATTCAGCAAGATAAGAGGCGAGAAATTAGAAAAATTTCAGTCCGCAATGTTGAGTCCAAGAGGTGACTCAATCTCCAAGATTGTCATTTCAGTGACTCGGTCAGGGAACAAAGTCGTCGATTGCAAATGGTAGATCAAGCTATTGCGTACG